TCATCCATCCATCCACTCATTCCTAAGCCACTGCTGAGCACCTGTTGTGTGCCTTTTCCCTCCCTCCACCTGGTTCCCTCACATCCTCCCCCGGTGGCCAGCATCTTCTCCCTGAGGGCAGAGGCGCAGCCCCTCACAGTGCCCAGCACCTGCTGGTATACAGCACATGCTCAAATAATGTGACCACTGAGTTAACACACAGAAGAACTTGCTCCAAGCGACAGGTGGCACATCTCCTTACAAAATGAATCTTAATCATAGTGGCTGTTTTCAGAGGCTTTCCCAAACGCAGTGTGATCTGGAACAAATTGTGAAGCCCACGAGCCTGGTGAAGCTTTCATTATTGAGCACCTGCTGTATACCTCCTTGAGCTGAGGAGAGGGATCAAGAGCTCATGGTCAAGAGGGGACCAGGCCCACCCACAAACACTGTTGATGTGGCAGGGATGTGGCAACGCAGAAAGGAGCCAGGGGCTGGGCTCCCAGCAATCTGGGGGCCACGGAGACTGGTTTGAGTGCAGGTGGAGTGGGCTAGGGCTAACCCTGTTGGTAGGATTCACAGGTATCAGGCTCCTGGGCTGCAGCGGCTCAGTCACCTCCCGGCACTCAGGTGCATCAGTTCATTGTCCTCATGCCAGTGGTGGGAGCAACCCTCATGCACAGGGTCTGAAAAATGCTCAGGTGTACCTGTACTGTGTGAGAGGAAGGAGCCTGGCAAAGGCGCACGTAGCCTCCTCGCTAGGTGTGGGTCTTGAGGGAACTTCTGTCTCCTTTCAGGTGGCACAGAATGTGGACCTGTACACAGGCAACCCCAACCTGGGGCTGGAGCTGTTTGAGGCAGCTGGAGACATCTTCTTCAATGGGGCCTGGGAGCGGGAGGAAGGCATGTCCTTCTACCGGGTGAGCTGGCCTGTGGGCTGATGTGGGTGGGCCTCAGTGGGGCACCTGGAGGGCTGAGGCACAGGTGTGGCAGGGTAGAGGCCTCACACCTGGAGGCAGGGCCACCCATGCACATGATGAGTTTCCAAGTGGTCTCACTGGGAATGATATTGACCATGCCCCTGCCCGGGACAAACGCTCAGGGCCTGGACATGACAATGGCTCTACCCTTGTACCTGATGACCTCAAGCAACCATGAGTGGGAAGTCCTGTCCCCATCTTCCAGATGAGGAAACCGAGGCTCAGAGAGGCACAGGGATATGTCAAAGGACACACAGCATACCAGTGGGAGGCCCAGGTCTGCATGCATCCCAAAGTGGGACAGCTTCTCCCTTCCTCTGAGCTCACGGTGTGGCTCAGCCCTGGGCACAGATAAATGTGGTGTTTTTAGAGCGGAGAGGAATGCTGGCTTCCCCCAGTCAGACCCCCGGTGCCCAGGTGGGAGAGGCTGGTCTGAGGCTGTCGGGTGTAGCTAGATGGGCAGCATGTGACTCTTCAGCCCCCAACTTGGGTGTCTGAACTATGTGTTATCCCAGAGCACAGAGCTGTGTCGAGGTGCAGGGGTAGCTGGGGCCTGGGAAGCTCCAAGCACATGTTTGAGCTCTGAGAAGGGCGCTGGGCAAGGTGGGTGCTGCGGGAAACCTGACCCCACCTGCCTGTGTGGTAGGACCAGTCCCTGCCCCTGGCAATGACTATGGGCAACCGCAAGGTGGAGCTGCAGCTACAGCTGTGCAACAAGCTGGTGGCACTCCTGGCCACACTGGAGAAGCCCCAGGAGGGCTTGGAGTTTGCCTACATGGCCCTAGCACTCAGCATCACTCTGGGTAAGTCCCCT